GGTGACTGTGGTGGAGTCCTTGATTGCAAAGGGTGGGGCGTCCCTCCAAACACCCTAGCCGAATATGCCTTGAATCAATTTGGAAACATAGATTTGTACGACATATCCCTAGTGGATGGGTCCAATATTCCCATCGAATTTGCTCTAAACAATAAAAGTTTAAAAATTTTAAATTTAAACTTTTCATAAATTTTTTTTTTACTTATTTCTCACTCATTTTTTTTATCTTTTTAAAAGTTAAAATTCTATTTTTTCTTCAATAAAAATTTAAATTTATCACTCATAACAATACTTAAAAAACAAAAACTCTCACAAATCACACCAAACAGGCTCTTAGCCGCTGCACCTTTATGTTATTAAAAGTAGTGCGATATTTACCATTATTTATATCAACCCAAAGCCACTTGACTTTTTCGTTAAGTGTCATCAGGTTAGGTATAAATATAATTAATGTACTCTTAATCTATATGTTAAAGTCAATGTTAGACAAATTCACATTAATTTTATGTACTGTCCAATGTTAAAATCATTCAAGTAGCGATGATGTTGCACCTGGCCCTTGCGGCCTAGTAGTAATAGCTACCCCGGTGCATTCCCCCCTCCCCGGGTTAGGTTCGAAACCCACTCCTTGCAAATATGTTTAAAAAAAAAGAGTAGCGATGATGTTGAAAGTAATTTTAAATTTTTATATAAATTAATTTCAACAACTTTTGTATTTTTACCCCACCTTAATATGTACCCAACTTATAATAACTTAAATAAATTAATGATAATATTTTTTTAATAAAAAATTTTTTAATTTAAATTTTATAATATATAAATAAAATAAATTAAAAAATATCCTTTATAAAAAAAAGTGCTCAATTCAAAAACCAAAAAACTATATTATACGCCATGCAAATTCATAAAGTAGTACTTTATTATTATTTTTTTAACATATTTACAAGGGACGGGTTTCAAACCCAACCCGAGAAAAGGAGAATACACCGGGATGACTATTACCACTAGGCCTCATGGATCAGGTACTCTATAGTTAGTGGTCCGCCATTAGAAATATGTAAGCGTTTCAATTACGCAAGCAATATTAGCCGCTGCACCTTTATGTTGTTAAAAGTAGTGCGATATTTACCATGATTTATATCAACCCAAAGCCACTTGACTTTTTCGTTAAGTGTCATCAGATTGGGTATAAATATGAATATATATATATATATATTTTTTCGGGGCAATGGTTTAAATGTGAATTTGTTAAAAAAAAAAAATTTACATCAAGCCGAAGGCAGCCACTCCATCTATAAAAACCCCCCACCTCTATGTTTATAATTATCCAAGCTCAAAGCCATCATCATCAACGATGAGCTACTTAACAAATTTCTCCATCTTCTCCGTACTCCTTAGCCTCCTCTTCATTTCCACCTATGCAACCACCTTTGAAATCCGCAATAACTGTACCTACACCGTCTGGGCTGCAGCCTCCCCTGGTGGTGGCCGCCGCCTTGATCGTGGCCAATCCTGGACCATTAGCGTGCTTGCTGGCACGGTGGCACGTATCTGGGGCCGCACCAATTGCAACTTTGATGGCAGTGGTAGGGGTCACTGTCAAACCGGTGACTGTGGTGGAGTCCTTGATTGCAAAGGGTGGGGCGTCCCTCCAAACACCCTAGCCGAATATGCCTTGAATCAATTTGGAAACATAGATTTTTACGACATATCCCTACTGGATGGGTTCAATATCCCCATCGAATTTGCTCCTACCAATGGAGGTTGTCGTACAACCAGGTGCGCCGCCGATATAAACGGGCAGTGTCCTAACGAACTTAGAGCTCCGGGTGGGTGCAACAATCCATGTACAGTGTTCAGGACTGAGGAATACTGTTGCACTCAAGGTTATGGACCATGTGGACTGAACAGGTATGCTCAGTTCTTCAAATCTAGATGTCCTGATTCTTACAGTTATCCTCAAGATGACACTGCAAGCACGCTTACTTGCCGTAGTGGCACCACCGAATATAGGGTTGTGTTCTGTCCACTTGGGTCACCTCATTTCCCTCAAGAGATGATCAAAAGTATTACGGTATGAACAGAGGCTTGATCGAGCCATCTGTCTTTTGCTATAGAAAAAGTTTTGTTTGGATAAATGTCTTGTCTACATGGATATGAATGTGGTGTTGGATCATAAACATAGGAAAATGATACATGCTACGAATTAGGGGATGCCACTCGGGCAACGAAAGTACGTGGCAAACCATGTGTGCTACTTACGTGTCTTTTTTAATTAAATCACCAAAATGTCAATAATTTTCGATTACTTTCAAAGCCGTTCCCAATTTTTTCTTAATCAACTAATTCAAAGATTCCAGATTAATGATAACTTTAGAAAGGTTACAGAGAACAAAATCTATAAGAAAAAAATTGCAGATGATCATCTTCAAAAAAATTACAGAACAAAATCTATTACCTTAATTACAATCAAGTCAGTTATTATTCCAATTAAATATGACGCATTTCACATGAAAGGTTGCATCAACAGAAAGAGCAATCTCCTGCACCCAAATGAGGATTCGAAGCAACAAGACAGCAAGTCTTCGTAGAGAAAATATAAAATTCAGGAGCAAAACCTCTTAGCTGTGCGGCAGCGAACGTGTAGAACAGTTTTGCCTAAATCGCTTCACTGTTTATCATTATCATGAGCCAGAAGATTGAAGTTAATTACCTCAGAGAGAGATCCATCAACAAAGCTCAGATGTAGAGAAGGGAAGCAGAGTCCTTTTCTTTCTTAGTCTTCTTCATCCGCCGGTTAAGGAAAACTAATTTTTGAATTAATTAATGAGTTTATCTACTCTTTGTCCTACTTACATAAATAAAGGTAATAATAGAGTAATAATTGTGATATATATTTTAAAAATATATGAAATTTTAAATTAAAAAAATAATTTTTAATTTTAATTTAAAATAAAAACTAAAAAAAGGTTAACATGTGCAAGAAATTGGGGTTTTGCATAAAGAAAGAGAGTTAGAAGAAAATTGGGAACCACATCCGAGAATAATTAAAAATTAATAAATAAT